CCCCCCCGGGCCAAAGCAAACGTCGCGTCGCGCCGAGGTGTTCCGCAGGGACGCTTCGCACGCAGGACATGCAGCACAGCCGGTCATTATGGGGCCTTGGGGAACGATAAGCCCTGTAGACCGCGACAGTGTCATTGATGTTTATTCGTCTTTATTGATTCCAGTGCCTGTACCTTACGGTTGTTCCTGGTTGATACAGGGATTTCACGGGTAGATGAATATTGTGTTTCTTGATTTTAGTAGTTATGTCTTGTGAGTGTGTCTGAATGAAGCAGAGATTTAATGAATACATGATTATTCAGAATAAGAACTATTGACAAAAATATTTAAATGAACATAAATAAGGTATTTGCAAAATTAGACTGAAGATAAATACAATTATCTTGCGTTGCCTCTGACGTGGCCTGCGCTCCGGGAAACAAGTTTGCCGACCGCTGATGTATCAACTGGATTTTCATTGTGCAGGTTAAATCAGGTTGTTTTACAATGAAATTGTTATTTTGAATGGTAGGACTAATAATTAATAAGGGATATGGAAGTTATTAACAAATACGTATTTACATTACTGTACAAATAATAAGTGTAAGTATTAAACGAGCCTTTTTGGAGAAACTTGCGAAGATTCAATTTAAGAAAAATTGGAAATAACTATGAGCTACATGAGACAAGTGTACTGTGAGTTTACAAGCAATCAGTTGCACATTGAAAATATATAAGAAAAAAGAAAATATAAAAGAAATTGAACATAGTAAGTGTGTGTGCGTATAAGCCAAAATTTATAAAATTATCGATCAAAATAACACATACAGATAAAACCTGAATTTAGAATTGAACTTATTAAGAGTGTATAAGTGCATGCACGTTATGGTTTTCCAACACACATTTCAACATTGGTGAAGAGCAGGTGATTTTGGTAAAATAACATGAGTTGTTAAGAATCAATAGTGGAATGAAAGCAGGAAGGGCAGAGAAAACCTCCCTTGGACCCGTCTCGCCCACCTCAAATTGCACCTGCGTCAACGAGCACTTGAACCTAGAATCGTGAAGGTGGATGCTAGCGCGCAAGTCGCTTCGCTGTGGGTCTCTCTTTTTTATGCTAATTGCAGTTTTCCGTTCGCTTTTTCCTCAACTGCGCGCGCCCTGGCTTCTTCCTTCCTTTCCATTCGTTCGTAGCCACGATTCCTGGGCTGCAGCCAAAGCCGTTAGGGCCGTTCCGCAATAGCCCGCGAACGCGAACGCGAGGGACGTGCGCTTCACGATAAAAGCCAACAGGATGAGGAATAGCGCTATGTATTTGTAGCGTAAAAAACCTTTCAAGAAACGTTGCTGAAACTAAAGCATTTGTAGCTACGCTAGACCGTTCACTCTGCTTTGTTACCTGCCTCTTTGTGCTGCTATGAATAGTGAATACTTTAACGAAAGAATATTAATTAAAAAACAAAATAATAATAATAATATAATAACAACAATAGTCATCATCATCATCATCATCATCATCAGCAACAAGGTTTGGGCCTAGTGGCCCGTTCCGCTCTCAAGTCTCTTTCCATCTTGTGTGGGGTCTGCCTCTGGAGATTTTCCCCTTTGGTTTGTATTCGAGGATAGTCTTGGGAAGCCGTTCTTGTGGCATTCTGGTTAGGTGTTCGAACCAATTCTTCCTCGTTGAGTCGATCTTCTCCAGTATGCTGGAGATCTGTAGTTCACCTCTGATGTCTTCATTTCTCTTATGATCTAGTAGTGTATATCCTGCTAATGGTCTCAGGAATCTCATTTCTGCCGCTTCGATCTTTCTTCTGTCTGTCCTATTGATTGTCCAGTTTTCGCATCCATAAGTTAGCATTGGGACTGCCATAGTTTTGTAAAATTTTAGTTGGGTGTCTTGTCTGGTCTTTTGTCTTAGTGCTCTGCGTATAGTACCGCACAATTTCTGGAATTTTTGGATCTTTATGTTTATATCTTTTTTGTCGCAGTATGAGATGTTAAATCCTAAATAATTAAAGTTGTTTACTTGTTCAATACTTTTTTCGTTTATCACTTCTTTACATCTGATATGGTTTTTCCCCTGGAATGCCATTGTTTTTGTTTTAGAGGTTGATATCTTCAAGTTATAATTTTATAACAATAGTCATAAAATGAAAAATTTACTGCGATCTTATTGAAACTACAACTATGTAAAATTTTAGCAATAAACCAACAACTCTAATTTACATCAACAAAACATATACAAATTATTTTGAAAGGACAATTTAATGCTAGGTATTGTATGTATGTATGTATGTATGTATGTATGTATGTATGTATGTATGTATGTATGTATGTGGCGCGACAGCCCGTGAACGGGCTCAGGCTTACCGACGTCCCTGCCACGCGGACATGGGTTATAGGGGTAGGTGTGGTTGGCACGTAGGCATCACCACGCCATATTCTGGTCTTCTCAACCTGAGAAGTGAATATTCTAAGCATCACACAGCAAAATATACTGGGACATTGATAGGAAAACGCACACTATAGTTTTGGCTCGACCAATGCTAGGTATTAGGTAGGTATTATTTGAATAGAAAGGTATAATATGATTATTATAGATATTATAAATATTATATGAAAGTATTATATGAATAGATTAGGTATTATATGAATAAAAATACAATTAAACCAGAATTACTATTCGCTGTCGCCCAGAATTACTAATCGCTATTTCGCCGCCATTGGTCGAGAGGCCTTCCGTTTCCGGGCCACGATAAATGTTAACCATCCTTCCCGTTCCCGTCGTGTTGTGAACGCCTGCCTAAGATGTCCGCCTTTCAACTTATTTTACGTACCCATTCCTGTTCTCGGGCTATTGTGGCTCGGTCTGAAGCCTTAATCCGGCCCCACCAGCGCGTTCGCCACGCCACGCCACGCCGGGCCTTGCCGCGCGCGCGGCCGGTCGATTCCGGATCAAACGAGAGACGGGTAATGAGTGTTGACCGAATCGACCGGGCGTAACGCAGGGGCGGCGGCGGCGGCGGTCACCGCGGCACGGCGCCCGCCCGCCGTGTCCGCGTACACGTGTCCGGACTCACGCGCGCCGCCTCCGCCTCCCCTGTCGCTGTCCGGTAATTACCGCCAGAGCCCTCTGACCCGCCCGTTCCGCCGCACGTCGCGCAGTGAACGCACCGCGCATGCAGGTGGACAAGCTATGTAAGGGCATGCGCACGATCGGTTGATTGATTGTTTATTTGGTGTTTCCGGGCATGTCAACTGCTATGGTTATTGGTCCCGTTAGTGTAGTGAATGTTTATTCCGGGAGGTGGCGGTGTGCTTCCCTCACATGGTGATAGACGTCGACCTCCATGTTGGTTTGCGGGGGGTATCTCTTTCTGGGTTTCTCCTCCAGAGGGACACCGCCCCCTGACGGATAAAGCTCTAGGCTCCTGGCTGGACTCCCAGCATGTGGTAGTGTAGTGCGTGTAAGTGTATGTGTAAGTAAGGAGAAAGGACGTGATACGGAAGAAGGAAAGAGATTGCGTGCGGTCCTTTGCCGGTTTGTCAGGGTACTGCTCCGGTATTCGCCTGGCATTGATCGGACAAAGCACGAAAACTCCTGATCAGAGCAGTAGAGACCCCTAGAGCATCCGCCCCAGAAAGCGGATGACTTTGACCTAGCTACGTAGCAAGTGTCGAAAATTCGCCACGGTCGAGACTTGGACCCTAGGACTTCTCGGTCAGAGCCAATGCCAAGACAGGGGAATGATGGATCCGAGCTAATTTCAGCTGCACGATCGAGATGTCTGATATTTGTCGACATTTGAGGCGTTCGGTAATAAATAATATCTAATATTTTGGTCGAAATCTACCCACTGGTTTTTATGCTTAAAGAGAAGTTGATTCAAGAGCTGATGACAAATGGCAATTAATTCAATTGTACTGTACGGCATGTTCAGCTCGTTTCGTTAACATATTCTTCCATTTTCAACAAATCGTGAAATGCCAATTATCAACATTTAGATGCGAAAGCTTCATTTTACCCGCCCAAGTAAACACTAGCATTTGTGCCCACAACCTCGCGGGTAAATCTGCGCAAACGAAAACTGATCTTCATAGTCTTCATAATATTCATAGTCTCTGCG